GTCCCTTGATTTACTTAACATTAATTACGATAGTGAGATGGTTAGTGAAACCAAAGTAGCAAAATTCTTAGGTCTTTATATTGACAACAACTTAAAGTGGGAGACTCGTAAGGATATATTTGCAGAAAGTTAAACCAATCTTCATACGCTTTACATGTATTATCCAAAGTAGTTAATGAAGATGCTTTACGGACGGTATATCACGGCTTCGTATCTTTTACTGTGCGCTACTGTGTGTAATATATTTCAAGCACAAAAAAAGTGTGTGCGTGCTTATTGCACGTATATCGAGTACAGAAAGCTGTAAACCACAATTTAAAAAATTTAAGTTATTGGCATTTCTTGCAATGTATATTTATGAATTTGTGACATTTGTAAAAACTAATCCTGAAATATTTAATGATTACGTAATAACAAACAATCGACGTAAAAATAAAATTCATACAATTTCATCAAAGACAGCTTTACTTAGAAAAAGTGTTTTCGGTATATTATCTAAAATTTATAATAAAGTTCCATCTATATTTCATGAAATGGAAAGTATTCATAAATTTAAAAAAAATTAAAACATTTCTAATTGAGAATTGCTGCTACTCAGTCAATGAATATTTAAGTGACGCATCAGTAGGCATATTATAATGACGAATGCATAAATGTAATCCATTTGACATTCGATTAGACTATATATTATTGTAAACATCCCATTCAAATTAATTATTACATCATTGTTGAATTTTCTTATATAATTATAATATAAAAAATAAAATGAAATAATTGTGAAAATATAATATATTTAATTGTAACTGTAATATTTTTATACCTAAGGGTTGAATGCAATGAACATATTTTTTTTAAAGATCTATTCTGTCTGATTATCTGTATTAACAAATAAAACAAATTTGAATTTGAATGGGGTGGCCGTTACCATGCCGTTTCTAAATATTTTTTTATACATATATATCTGTTCAACATATTATATATTTTTAATTAAACTTATTATGTCGTCTATTTGGCTGAGCCGCAACTTCTCTTTAAGCCGTATTAGAATGTGCGCATGCGGTAATCCTCTTTTTTGCCATTCAATTGAATACATGAAGCACTGCACCTCTCCGAAAATTCCCTTTCTTAATTACATACATTAATTTTTGTACTTTTAATCTAAATACTCTAGCAACTAAATCGTGTCTGTCAGTACTTTTTTGGCCCGGCATTAGCTCCTCGGTTATTTCTTTCCATGTGGGATTGCAAGTAAAAGTAACAAAAAGATCAGGTCTTCCGTAAGTTCGTACATAGGCGAATGCGTCTTGTATGTAATCATGTAGGTAGCGGGGACTGTTAACGAATGATGAGGGCAGAATTACCATTTTACCTAAATCTCTGGGGTTTACATTGGCGTCGCTAGAAACTGCATCTTGTAAATGTATATAATTGTCAACGTGCCACTTTTTTTGATTTAAAGATATATAACGGAGACGTTCACTGTCTACCTTCACATACATGTCTACCAAAAATTGATGAAATAATTGTCTACACCGGGCTAAGAGGTTAAAATCATTTTCTCGCAACATCATATGATACGCATAAAAATCCGTACATGATAATTTTTTGTTCGGAAGTAGGCTCCTTTGTGACCGGGTTAATGAGTGGAATTTGAAAATGATAACCCTCTTATCCTTTGCAATAAATCAATGGGCATTGCAGAGCGTCATAAAACTTGTGTGTATCGGCTACCCGTAGCAACGTATCATCACGTGCTCGTAAGACAAAGTCTCGTGAAGAAAATTGATCACCACTAATTATGACTCGTAATTATGAATCGTTTATCAAAGGTGCATTGTAGCGCCTTTCATGCTCTCCTCGAGGGGTCATATCTGCGTGAATGACGACTTTATAATCCTCTTCAGGTAGGTTTTCTAAAGCAGATTTAAATGTTTTGACTAAAATGTTACATTCATGCAAGAATCTTTGAATTTTGAACACTGTGTCTCTCTCAACTCCCTGGATAAATTGGCAGCGACGGTCTACCTCAATATCTTCGTCGCCCATAAAATATACTTGTAAAAATTTATGCTGTTCGTTTTCAGCTGGAAAAAGTGAACCTATTCTATGATAAATTTGCCCTTGCACCGTAAATGTAGGCGAAAATCTCGGCATTATTATTTCCCGATCAACTCCGAAGGACATCATTTGAAAGCATGAGTTATATTTCCGGATCCTGATTAAAAAGCGCCGTGACTCATTAGCATCATATAAAAAGAGAGTTTTCAAAGGTTCTTCTGGTTGCCCAAGTAACGGAAGAGACACTTTGCCATTGGAATAGCACATGCTTGCGGTCTCATCTTTCCATTTTAAAGCGCTGCAAAATCGACACGCCTTGTCCATCAGTCCGAGAACAACTAATCTGTGATTTTTATAATCAATTAACGGATCATAATTGAATGCTGCGTCATTAAAAACTGACCAATTGTTTCTTTTAAAATTTTGTCGACTTCAGCTTGGGGCTGTGCATTTGCATCTCTTCGCGCCTGTGTCTGTTCTGGTGTTTCAGATGCCCTTATAGTAGATTGACGTTCAGCTTGCTCAATGAGTCTGTGTTGAGTTTCATCAGGTGTTTCCGCGGCTCTTAAGGCGGCCTGACGTTCCGCTTGTTCGAATAGCTTTTGCTGACTTTGAGCAGGTGTTTCAGTAGCTCTTAAAGTAGGTTGACGCTCTGTCTGTCAAGACGCCTTTGCTGACTTTGATCAGGTGTTTCAGTATCTCTTAAAGTAGCTTGACGCTCTGCCTATTCAAAACGTCTTTGCTGACTTTGAGCAGGTGTTTCAGTAACTTTTAAAGTAGCTTGACGCTCTGCCTGTTCAAGACGCCTTCGCTGACTTTGAGAAAGTGTTTCAGAAGCTCTTAAAGTAGCTTGACGCTCTGCCTTTTCAAGACGCATTTCCTGACCTTGAGAAGGTGTTTTGGAAGCTCTTAAAGCAGCCTGACGCTCTTTCTGTTCAAGACGCCTTTGCTGACGTTGAGAAGGTGTCTCAGATGCTCTAAAAGCAGCCAGATGCTCTAAAGCCAGCCGCTATGCTTGTTCTTGCATTCTCAGTTTAGCATCTTCTAAAGATTCTAGACTACGTTTACGTCTTAGACTTACGTTTACGAGGCATTATGAAGTAACAAAAAACCTATTTATAAAAAAAACATTAAAATACCTAAAAAGAATTAAATTTCCTTTTAAATATTTTTAAAACAAATCTAAAATACCTAAAAGGAATAAATATTCCTTTTAAATATTTTTTTAAATCAAAACAACAAAACCAACTCAAGACACAACACGAATCCGAAAACGATAGCCAAAAAAATCGAATCAACTTTAACCAAATCACAAAACAAATCGCAGAAAACCGAAATCGAAAGCAGTAGTCAATATAAATATAACCAATGAAAAAAGAAGTAAGTGTATAGGTACCGTATACACTATCTATACTATTAATATTCCTTTGAAATATTGTTAAACAACCTAAAACAACGAAAACCAATTCACGATTCTAAATAAACAAATCCAACATCAAACCCAGAGTCTAAATATGTATAAAGGAATACCAACCAAATCAACAAAACCGATCCAAGCAAATACACAAATCCGAAAATGAAAGCCAATGTAAATCCATTCAACCTTAACTAAATCACAAAGCAAGTAACAAACAACCGAAATCGAAACCAGGTAGTCGAATAAGCTACGAAATAGAAACAATTTAAGCGTATAGGTACCGTATGCACTATAAGTTGACGCGCGGCTCAACGGCGGGAGTTAAGTACATGTCAGGAAACATTTCGTTACCGCGTTTAAAAAACCTAGTAGTGACATCTAGCGGAATCAATTTAAATTATGTATACGTTAGTTTAATAAGAACTCTCAAAAATATTTTTCTTATAATTTTGCACAATTTTTCTTATTGTAATACCGATTCATTCATAACCACATATAAGAACTGTATTCTTTTCCGTTCAATAAATATTACAAAGGCCTATTAATAAGGCTTACTAAGAACTGTTTCTACCACAGTTAAGTAATAGTTAAGGGTGAAAGCGTGACAGGTGGTGATAGTATTTCTGATCCATACTTATAATCACGCCTGTAACCCTTGCGGCGTAGGCAGAGCATCAACGGATTACTTACTACGGTCTGCGAGGTTATCGCCTATTCTGTGAATTACAATGCACCAAAACGTTTGAAGAAAATCAGCTGGTGAATTTTATGTTTTTTATCGCTCTCTTCACGGTCCTGCGTGGAAAAATACGGATCCATACATTTTTTATCTTAATTTTGGTAAAAAGACATAATAATCCAGATATTCTGACCTTCTGTTTTCGTCCATCGTACCGTCGTCCGTCTTGTAGAATCACAGTGGCGCCACCTATCTGAATTTAATTTTGCAACATATTCAATTTTCCCACGGGATTATATGTTTTTCATCTGAAAAAAAGTAACCTATGTCACTCTACAGCCACTGAACTATCCCCATACCAAAATTCATGCCATGCCTACGCTCTGTTGCGACGTGAAAGAAGGACAAACTTTTGCAACATATTCTATTTTCCCGCGGGAATGAGATGTTTTTCCGCGGAAAAAAAGTAACCTATGTCACTCTATAGCCACCGCACTATCCCCATACAAAAAATCATGCCATGCCGACGCTCTGTTGCGACGTGAAAGAAGGACACACAAACAAACAAACAAACACACTTTCGCATTTCTAATATTAGTATGGATAACCCCTGGGGAGGGTTCGCTGCCAAGCTATTTCGAATTTGTTTTTTGTTGTTAATTATAACATACGTGATGTAAGATCTTATTTAAAAAATAATAGTCCCTTTGAGTTTCTTTGCGAATTAGTGGTAATGAAAAAAAGTGACTTTCAATAAGTATTATTTATAATCCATATTGAATAAAATAGTTCCTGTTTCTGTTTTAAGTTTTTATTTTATTTTTTGCAGACTCGGAGTACTATCGTATGCCTGCACTGTTTGCCTTAGACGATTATCAATCTTGTATTAGTGATCCTATAGGTGTATATTGCTTAGCACGATTTGACTTGCACTCTGATCAACGAAGTCAGCTTATTACACTTATAAAAGTGAGTATTTAAACGTTTATAAGCTGGGTACTGCCCAAAAATAGCATTTTATACAATTTTGTGAGACATGAGTACATAGTCCAGATGATAGTAAGAGGACGCTGAAGGCTGTAGACATTTGCATCTATCCTTGTTTAAGATTCATAATTCGTATGAATCGTCACACTTAGGAACGTAGATAAAAAGCAATTCCAGAAAAAACAAGTTTTCGGTTATGGTCACTCACCCGCTCTTACTTTTATTTCAATATGAATATTTTAAAAATCTATAACAAATGCGACCTTGCTGGGAACATACAATGGATATTTAAAATAAAAACCATTTACATTTTTAGGAATATTCGGACGACCAAATAAAGCATTATAATCATTCGCATGTAGAAAGAGGCATCTGTGTAACCAAAACTTGTAGAAAGATTTTAGGAGACAAAGCCATTGCAAAAGGAGTGGACCTGACAGATACCCTTGAGAAATGCTTTAATAAATCCTTGTGGGAGGACTACGAGTTAAAAGCAAAACTATCTCTGGTATATTATTGTGATACATACGGTGAAGAAGACGAAATCGATCTTGGTGAAAAAGTTTTTATGAGCACCATAATTTTTATATTAATTTTAAATATAGCTGGAAACTGTTACGATATTTATGTTAAGAAAACAGGACGAAATTTAAATGGGCTAGGTAAGTTATTTCAAGACTTTGACTCCAAATAAATAATATGTTTTATTAATACAAAATTTTCTATACATATACAAGGCTTGACTCTGTTGAAGGATGTGAATTTACTTTTACTTTTATTAAAATCCCAACACATGATGTGTGATGCAAGTGCTTAGAAGGAGCATTATAACGTTATTCAGTCAATTTAGCTACGGGAAATTATCAAACTATATCAAACTATATTTAGTTGTCTTCAATCAGATAATAGTAAACAAGAAACGGTAAACATATACTTATTAATTATGATGATTTATAAATAGGCACTATGTAACAATTTTAAGTTGAAGGTTTTAACATGACCCTCACCTTGAACACCTTAGTCCCTTCGTGACCTTGTAACCATTCGGGCTGCAAAGGACTCGTAACTTCGAGAATATTAAATTAATTAATTAAACGCAATAAAATTCGTAAAAACTTGTACGTAGTGTTCGCGTAATATAATAAATCTTTAGTCTTACTTTACAGTTTCTTTACGTTAAAGGAGAAACGATGGAAGATTTAAAAATTGACTGAAAACTCTGGGATTTAGGGGCCATTCATTATCTACGTAAGGGTCCCGAAGGGACAGGTTGGTTAAAAAAATTCTACATGCCATTATTGTGGGAGTGAGACGGAAAAATTCAATCTTACCTAATGTTTTGTAAGTCGACTTAGAAATCTAGTTCCATTTCGTACGCTGAATGGTTTTCTTCATTCTATAATGTAGAATTACATTCCGATTAACATCTTTTTTTACAAATTCATTTTAATTGTTTATTAAAATTTTCAAATCACAAATGTATTCATTTTTATCTTTATATAATTATAATACACTAGCTATTTCCCTCGACTTCGCCCGCGTGTAATTTAATGTTTTAATTATTGTGCGCGGAATCCTAATGATTTATTTTTTTTAAATAAAAATATAGGAGCTTAGCCCGAGTCAACAGATGGAAACAGACAAAAGTTTTTACAACTGTGTTTTTGGCACAAGTAAAGTATTAATTATACTTTCATATGCGTTTTGTAAAAAGCTGTTATTTTGACATTATAAATAAACACTTCAATTTTATTTATTTTTATAGATGCATTCCGTATTAATCTTATTGTAATTATTTTGGAATATAAATTTTTTTATTTTATTTTCCAGCAACAATAGTATTGAATGACTATTTTTTTTTAATTCAATAATGATTCCGGTCACAATAGCACATTATTTAACTGATCCTTTTCTAAGAACATTTTATTATTCTAAAAAAATGAGATAGAATCTTTTGTAAAAAGAAGAATAGGGGTTTGAGAATCATACGTACCCTTAAATGGGGATACGGGGGATCAAAATCGCCAAAATCATCCGTACGTAATTAATAAATGGCCCCTTAGTACTTTCGGCTATAGTCACATTTGCATCAAATGAGGGTTGTACTATAATATTTAAAAGTCAATAATTTTTCCGTTTGTATATAAGTCTGCCATAGAACACAGAGCTTGAATAGCAAATCTAAAAATGAATAAATAGGTCCGTACATTACATCGTACAATCGTATACATTACATAGACATCTTTGAGCTCGTTCCACCTCTAAAAATGTTGTTTCCCAAACCCGAATAAAATCAACAGTATCAAACAGTAAGTTAGTATGGATTGAACCAGTGTGAACCAGCAGATACATAGACAATATGAAAACTTAGTATTATGAAGATCCACATTAACTTTGCCAAGTTAGTCACTGACATAATGTCAAGGTATTTAATCGACGTTGTTATAATTTTAGAAGGACAGGGAAAAGGGCTCACAGTAGCAACCATAGTCGTGTATTCTTTTCATTAAATCACAATTAGTTTGGTATGAATTATAAATTACTGTACTATACTAAAATTGTAGTTTATATTCACTGTGTAGTAAACACATTACAATTGAAAGAACAAGTAACATTAACACAATAACATTCAGCAAGAACAAACCAAATTTATTTAATTTTTACTTATGCAGCAAATTTATTTTAAACTATTTCACAGGTCACAAGGTTTTATCCTGTTTCTCATTAAAACAAAATTGGAACACTTTAACATCATTCGAACCCGAACATCCAAAAATAGGAAGACTGAAAGGTTTGCATGGAATGAGGTAAGATTAAATCTATTTTAATGTGGGGTGCAAGTTGAGTAAGAAATATAAAAATATACAAAATATACAACAAATATGTTATTAATATATTATTTGGGTTGGCTCGCCCGGGGTAGGACCACGCTCTCACAGAATACTAACGTAAAATAATAGCTCAATGCTGCTGTGTTTCCTATAGTAAGTGTAGAGAACCGGAGACCATTTTTACTGAAAACGAGGCATTCCATCTTAGTCCTCACGGGTGACAACACATCTGCATTTTGATTTGTAATCGAGAATAGATGTAATTGTCTATTTTTTTAACGTGGGCTGCAGCAATCACTTACCATCAGGTGGACTGTGTGCTCGTTTGTCATCCTATCCTATTCAAAAAAAACCCTAATCGTTTAAGTCAATGTGTCTTACTCGTAAAACACAAAGTAAGCGCTAACTTAAATTCGAAATATTGGTGACGTAAAGTAGTATTACCAATGTGGAATTGGTTCGCATTCGTCAAACCACATGTACTTGTGTGGTTATTAAATATTAATAAAATATTCATGTATACAGAAGAATATATAGAATATACAGTCACATCTCTACTTCGACAGCAAATAAATACGTTTAAATTAAATTAGCATTTGATAGGCAGCTAATAAAAGATAAAAATGTAGAGTTTGAATTTTTTAAAGGTGATTTCGTGATTTTAATTTCATATTTATAAGTAGAATGTTTTTATTTTTTAATTAGTTTACCTTTAACAAATCACTATTTAATTGATTTTTCAAAAGCCATCGACACTGTCTCTATTTCCCACCTTCTTCATAGGATGGAATTGATTAATGTACTAGAGATTCCTTTATATATATTTCAGTCTTATCTATCTAATCGTACGCAGTTAGTTAAGTATCACAAGGCAGCGGGCTCGGCCCCGCTCTCTTTCCTGTTTACGTGAACAGTTTAAGCATAATTACGTTGCCTAACTGAAAAATCATTTCGTATGCCGATGATACAACTTTAATTGTATACGAAAATGACTGGAAAGAAACTCAAACAGTAGTAATCTACTGACATTTATTGTAAACAAAACTTTGTTTCTTAATGCATGCAAGGACATATTTTTACTGGTTGCTTAATTTTAAGGTCGAATACGAAGAATACTGGCGAAACTTCATGTATTTCTCTTCACTAGAACTTTGGCCTGTATTTCAGGCCAATGTTCACGAGGCAGCAAAATGTTTATGAATTATTTATTCATAAAACATTTTTTGTAGCTTTGTACTGTTCCTTCACAAAGTGCCCTCCTTATTAAAATTTGAAAATAAATTAATATACCAATAAAAAGAAAAAAAGAAATGATATCTAAAAATTATTTTTTTCCAAAACTCTGTGAATATAAATTTATGAAAAATTATTTTGACGTAAAAATATTTGTATTGTAATTTCGAAGATGCCTGCCTTTTTCATTTTCGATACAAAAAGAAATTTTATTAACAAAATTCGTTTTAATTACAAAGGCCTAGTAATAATATTGTTTATCGCCAGATAAAAAGTTGCCGTCATAAATTACCAGGCGCTTCGATATGTGGCGTATGGTGAACAGTCAGTTGTGTCTGCATTAAAAATCGTTAATTTAATAGTTTACACGTATTTAAGTGGTTATAAATGTGAACGTGGGTAGGAAAAGAAATAAATATTACCTAACTGGTAAAACAAAGAGAGTTTATCGCAATAACGTATGTGGTAAGTTCCATTTTGAGGTTATATTTTTTGTAAGGTACTTTTTTGTTGGAGGCTGCCTCTGTCTGCATTTTTACTAATTTACATTAGCCAAACCGATCATTCATATGTTTCTAGACAAGTGAGAAACTCCAAAAATGTTAATATCACGACCGAGCCGGAAAATAATGTACAGAGTAGTGCATGCACAGAGACCGCAAATAATGTCATAGTTAATGTATTTTCCGAAAGTATGGGGTAAGCATATAATAAAAAAATTGACGTACTACGGGTGTGAAGTAATTGACCGATCGGAGTAGTCATGTGAGAATTTACACACAGAGTACCTACCCCACTTTGGGGCAAACAGGGTCTTTTTAGTTTTTTTTCTTTATTATTTATGCAATTTACATTACGGCATCTTGTAAGACTCACAAGACCAAACATTTTTAGTTACGTGAATTTTTTCAAATAAGATGCACCAATTCAGAACAAAATCGATGTCAATTCAATAATTTTTCCAACAACTTTCTTCATAAAAAGTTTTTTTAAGACACTTAATTTTTAGTCTAATACAATTGTTTGCTATGACGCACTATTTCTGAGAAATTCCAATTTAAAGTTATTTTAATCATAAATTACGTCGTATTGAAAAACTAACATATGTATTACTGAAAATATTTGCTTTAATGAGCGTCATCAATTATTTGAATTTACCGAAACTAATTACTGATATGCTTTTAGGGAGGTGAGAGACTCTTAAAAATCGGATATCAATGTTTAATCAAGTACTGATTGACCAAAGTAGTCCGAGCACAGATGTCGCAGATAATATCGAATTCAATTTAGTGTCAGAGAATACAGGATAAGTACATAACAAAATCGGCACAGTAATGATTTGAGTTCAACCGATTTAAAAATGAGGTTATCAATTTGGTACGTAAAACAGGAAACGTTTCTTCTAACGAACCTTACAAATTTATATATAATCATTGATGTGCTTTTAGGCAGGTGAGACTCTGAAAATTTAGATATTATATCTATAGAGTTAAATACTAACATCCAGAGTAATTCGAGTACAAATATTGCAGAAAATATGGGGTAAGTAAGAACATAACTAAACAAAATCGACATAGAATTCATCTGGTTTTAAACGGTCTTCAACTTAACAGAAAATATATATTAAAACTACTGTAATTGTTACTGCACAAAATTCACACGCTCGTACTTCATATCAAATACATATATTTTTTTATAATTATGCGTGTACCTTATGTATGTATACTTGTGCTCGTATTTTTCCAATATTAGATGGATAGTAACCATTTTTTTTTATTTGCAACTTCTTGTTGAACTTCAATATGTAGGTCGATATGAAGTCGGTCAAAATTTTAATGTTTTTTTTTTTTTAAATTTGATTATCTAATTTGTTACAGCGAAAAATAAGAAGAAAAACAAGTTAGTAAACGGATTATTCACGTTATACATTTTTTCAAAGGGCTTCAACAAAACATCTGCCCACGGTCCTCCAAACTGTGGATTAACGTTAGTAAAACTTGTATCTGAAGTTCGTGGTGGTCTTATTTTCAAACTCAAGTTAAAATGCGTGTTGTGCAATATGACTTTCATTCTGGAAGCTGATCATCCCGGAGACGAACTGGACATCATCAGCAGTGCAGTTGCTGGTTCTATAGCAATTGTATGTCTCATGTCAATGGTTTCGCTCCTATTAGCGATAAGTTATTTACGAAGAAAATGGACCTGGTAAACAAAAATTGGAAGGGGAACTAATAAATCTCTGAGCGAACTGCTAAAGAAGAGCATGATGTGGCGGTCAAAGAAGGGAGAGTCAACTCTGACGGAATTCCAGTTGGGTCAATGCAGATGGCTGTTATGGTAAAAAGTCATATAAAAAATTTACTCTTCATTATCTGGAGCCACCGCTATCATTAGGAGAAGAACAAATAGAGCATTATTTTTAGGCGTCAAAATAAATATTGCCATATTTGTGCGGTGTCATAAAGTGAAGGAGTCGAGACAAAAGATCACGTTTGTTACACAAATTACACAAGTATGTTATGTATCACTGTTATGTTAAATGTACTTATATTTTTTACTGGAAAATATTTTTAGGTCCATCTACCGGAATGAAATCAGACATAGGATATAGGCTAGGCATAGGCTTCAAAATGAGCTTAGAGATGCATAATCTGATTTATGGAAGGTTAATCTCGGATCGCGATGCAAACACCTACTCAAAAATACTCCAAACAAGACCATATGACAACTTTACGGTTGAAGAGGTGGAATGCCCAAAACCACTTGCTCAGAAATTGAAAAAAGAGGATTTTGTCCATGAGAAAAGCAGTTACTGAAGCAATAAAAACCGACAAAGAAATTGGAAACGTCTTAAGTATTCATAAAGATATAACGAATTCTGTCGAACATTCCTTTGGTCGTTATAATAAATGCAAAAACTATTATTGTACAAAAAATTAAAACAACAAAAATATTTGTAGGGGATGAGAGCTAATTGGACTGCATTTATCTTTTATTGAGGGAGAAACTGAAATACTATGAAGAAAGCTAATTAATGTGACATCTGTCTGACTAATACCTTAATCGATGATAATTGCTATTTTAAACTAACAGGGGCTAAGACGAAATTAAAGATCTTCGAAATAATAACTATATTGTACACTATTTACAATTAAATTGCGGCAGTTAATACTAAAACACTATTTCATTACTACATGAACCTAATAGGGATCTTGAGGGCTTTCTTCTTGCTTGTTCTGTCTTGAGATCGAGAGCTGTAGCCGAGCGAATGACGAAATCACGCCAGAATCGCTTGTTTTGTTTCGATGGTCGGTGTTACGTAGGCACAAGTTGGTGCAAGCGTTTGTCCTTGCAGGGTCGTGTTCTGATGCAGGGTGCGGGAGACGTGTCGATGCGGGTGCGGTGTGGGCCGACGGACGATTACTTCTTCGCCGTCCGTAACAATATTGATGAAAATTTGTTTTCCAATAGCGTTTGGCTAAGAATCAAATTAATAATTATTCAACTGGCAGTTCAATCTCGAAGGCTTTTCATTGACGTTGACAGAAATTCTGTAGGAAGATACCACAGTATCGCAGCTAAATTTGTAGGTGGCAAAATGATAACCTTCAGCCAAAAGTACCAATATAAGCTGCATTGCAATACCGCCGCAATATCTTTCAACACTCAAGAACCTTTGTCAATTCTTCACAAAGCAATGGTAGGTCGAGGGTTCACGAAATAATATTAAAAATATGAAGAAAAGAAAGCCAAAAAATTGAAGTCTGCCAAAAAGTACATAAAAATAAATTAAGGTTTGAAAACCAGGATCCCATAAATTATGGCGAAGATTGTAGTAAACCAGACATAGATGAAGACAAATAAGACATCATTAAACATCGAAATAATAATGAGAAGTTAGCACTGGAGCTATTATTAGCACAATAAAATGTTAAACTATTATCATGCGGATTTTATATTGATCCAGATGTACCATATTTTGGAGCATCTCCGGATGGAAGGATGGAATAACTGAAGAAGGAATTTTGATTGAAATGAAATGCCCTAAAACCTCGTCTAATATATTAATATATATATATATATATATATATATATATATATATATATATATATATATATATATTAATATATAAATAGCGAAACCGGTAAAAACAAAGCTCGTTACAAAAATTATCAATTAAAAATTAATAATGAATTGACTAGATCAAATCAAAAAGTCGCAGCGGTGTTTGAGAAATATTTCACTGAAATTCTTATTTTGACAACATTAAATAGTTCTCCAACTGTCGCCGATTCATTACTCAAACAGAATGTTAATACCTGTTTAAAAGAATTTAGATTTGAAAAAGTACTACCGCAAGATATTGTAACATATTTTAAAACCCTTGATCTAAAGAACACCGCAAATTCAAGGGGGGATTTCCGTTACAGTTATTGCGTTCTTAATAGATTTAATTGCACCTTATCTTACTATTATTTTTAATACTATTATCGAATCTGGTGTGTTTACTGATTTAATGAAACATAGTAAATTAACACCTTTATTTAAATCTGGTAGTACATTTGACCCCGCAAATTAAAACCTATTTCTGTACTACCAACTCTCAGTAAAATTTTTGAAAAGATAGTTTTAGATCAATTTTTAATTTTTTAAATAAAATTAAATTACTCCATAAAAATCAATTTGGTTTCACAAGGGGTCCCTCGACGACTGACGCAGATGTCAAGCTTTTTGATATATATTTTCAATGCCTGGGAGCATTGAAAATATATATCTGAGTTTACTAGATACCTTAGGTACTTTTTGTGATCTTTCCAAGGCTTTCGATTGTGTTTATTGTGAGATATTTATCAGGAAACTACAACATTACGGTGTCAAAAATATTTCACTTAGACTTATTATTTCATATTTAAATAAGAGTACTTAAAAAGTCATTATCAATGGTAAAGGTTTCTCCGGATCAGTAGTATCAATGGGTGCTCCTCGGGGCTCGATTCTTGACCCATTCCTGTTCTTAGTCTATATTAATGACTTGCCTTATCTTGTAGGGGGAGAATCACGATATAGTATTATTTGCTCATGATACCTCATTAATTTTCAAACTCAATCGACAGTCAACCAATTTTGAGAAAGTAAATAATACTCTACCAGTATATTCGTTTAACACTAATAATTTGCTCTTAAATGGCAATAAGAAAAAACGTGTTAAATTTATAATACCTAATGTTAAACGTTTAAATACCAATGTGCTCACAAATGGGGAAGAGTTGAGTCTTGTGGATACCACTGTTTTTCTTGGTATTACTATTGACGCTAAGCTTTAATGGGGCCCCCATATATCTAAATTACCCAGCAAACTTAGTTCTGCAACATATACTGTAAGAAAAATTAAAAGTCTAACCGATGTTGAGACAGCTAGATTATTTTATTTCAGTTGCTTTCATAGCGACTTTATATATTATTACGACTTTTTATATATATTAGACTGACAGTGAAGTCATATTTGTTTAACAAAAGAGAGCCGTACGGGCGATTTATAACTTAAATTGTAAAGTCTCTTAGAGAAAAACTTAAGAAAATAAACATATTACCTTTGGCATCGCAATACATTTATGAAAATGTAATGTTACATACATAAAAACAAAAATAGCTTTCATAATAATAAAGATGTTCATACTTTAAACACTAGGAACAAACATAAGCTTGTAATACCAGTTACTAGACTCCACAGAATTAGTCATTCATTTACTTATGGGTCAATGTATATACCCCTTTAAAACAAAATCCCAGAAAATGTACAAAATTTGTCATATCAATACATAAATGAAAATAATCCCTGGTAATGAGGCGATCGCCACCATGCTGGTTCTATAAAAATTGTACAAAATAATTTATTGTAAATTGAAATATGTTTAAAAAAAAAGTCCCGCTGAGTTTCTTATTAGTTCTTCCCAGGACAGAGTTTTTTGGGAACCAGTACTAATAAAAAAAAGTGACTTTCAATAAATATTATACAATAATCTATATTGAATAAAAATCATTCATTTAATTTCTTTAATTAATAACAATCTCGCACGCACGTGCGTACGTGTGTGTGTGTGTGTGTGTGTGTGTGTGTGTGTGCGTGCGTGCGTGCGTGCGTGCGTGCGTGCGTGCGTGCGTGCGTGCGTGCGTGCGTGCGTGCGTGCGTGCGTGCGCGTGCGTGCGTGCGTGCGTGCGTGCGTGCGTGCGTGCGTGCGTGCGTGCGTGCGTGCGTGCGTGCGTGCGTGCGTGCGTGCGTGCGTGCGTGCGTGCGTGCGTGCGTGCGTGCGTGCGTGCGTGCGTGCGTGCGTGCGTGCGTGCGTGCGTGCGTGCTGTGCGTGCGTGCGTGCGTGCGTGCGTGCGTGCGTGCGTGCGTGCGTGCGTGCGTGCGTGCGTGCGTGCGTGCGTGCGTGCGTGCGTGCGTGCGTGCGTGCGTGCGTGCGTGCGTGCGTGCGTGCGTGCGTGCGTGCGTGCGTGCGTGCGTGCGTGCGTGCGTGTGTGTGTGTGTGTGTGTAACGGTAAATAGGGATATGATATCACGTAGGTTAATTGTAGGACAAAAGAGAATCAGTTTCATGGTAACCATAAATATTAAGCCAAATTATTATTTTCTTTCTTATATCATAGTTTTTATCGTTTTTTCTATATAAGCGCTATAAAATTTGTTATATAAATATGGTACTTCTTTTACCAAAACATTTTTAATTGCTATGATAGGATTTAGTTACGTTAACTGCAGCCGCAGGACCCAAAATAAACCGAAATTAATTTAAAATACTTTATTATAATATAAAAATTACAATATAATTATTACTACTAGAAAAGCAGTGAAACAGATCCATGCTAGATCTAGAATGAATTTTATTTATATATATATATATATATATATATATATATATATATATATATATATATATATTATTGCCATAAAATAAGGTAAAGGAACATTGCAGAGCACCGATTGCATTCGTTGACGTCAATGAAAGAAAGAAAGAAATGCATTTTATTCAAGTTCAAACATGCAGCATAACAAGCAAAAAAGTAGATATAAGCCAATAGATAAATACAACTAAATTAAAAGTAACTTAACATTATTATAAATTTAAGAAAATATTTTAAAAATACCCTGTGCTGCAGCATGAAACTGTGAAACGGACCGGACTCAGTAATAGCACTGGTTTTCAGTC